AAGTCTGTATCCCTCATACGATGCTGGGAGTCCAGGTGGGGCTGGGAATGGGAACAGAAGCTCAGACATAATGAAACTCGTTGGGAGCAGCAGTTGGCTGGCAGTGTGTTACCTTCAGCATCCAGCAATTTGGGGTGTTCTGTAGTTGTTGGGCATGGAATGGAGAGAAGTGGGGGCAGAGGAAGCTGCTGCAGCTCCTTAAGCCCTAACAAAGCTCACTGTGCTCGTCCTTGAGGTCAAAAGGGGACGTCCAGGCATAGGCTGGAAAAGTCTGAGAAAGGGAAAAACCTGAGCTGCACATCCAGGTCACCACCCTGAGCTAAGAGAACTCCCAGAGCCAGGAGTGTGGCTGCTCCCAGTCCTCTCTCCAAGCCCAGCATAGGGTGGTTCCATACGGAACAGAAGAAACACATTTACTAAACCAGAAAGCTGCCCCTTAGCAGCATTCACATGCGTGTACATATAAGGCTGGTCCTCTTGCACCCGTGAGAGATGTTTCTATGATCCAGCTTCCTTTTCTGCTTAAGTATTCAGGTCTGTCTGTTTGGATTCCTTGCACCAAAATGGATTTCTGAGGTGTCCCTGTTTGCAGTCGCTGAAATTCTACACTGACACCATCGTGTGCTGATTTCTAAATGCTGAGAAATGTAGGATCTTGGCTTTTGACCTGGGAAAGACACTTGATGACTGCAAGGAACAGGCTGGCTGGGGACAGTTGTGGGCAGCTCACCACGTGTTTGGCTGCTCCTGGACCAGGGGAGCTGGTGTGAACTGTCAGAAGGAACGCAGCTTTTTGCTTCATATACAGATTCCCATTTGCTGGTGGGCCAAGTTGAATGCCAGCTCACGGCTGTGATTAACCAGGGCTCCCTGCCACTTTCTGTGGGGCTGCATGGCCCAAGGAGTCAGCCCCACGCCAAAGGTGTTGCTCTCCAGGAGGAGTTGTGGTGCCAGGGAGTGCACAGAACTGGTGGTCTAATAAAGACAGAGGGAAAACGTGGGGCAGGCTGAGGGGAGACAGTGGTAATGTGGTTTGGTGTACCCAGGGAGGGAGGATGCGAATGGGTGCAGGATTTGGTGCTGCCAACCTCATCTGACTCTGCCGTGAAAATGCTTGGGATCAGGCATAGCTAAATCCATTCCCAGTGCCACATCTTTCCAATCTGTTGTTACCAGGCTGTGCCATGAGGTTGGTCTCACCTAGAGGGTCAGAAACCCATTGCTGGATGCCAACCAGAGCGTGGGATTATGTGGTGAGGCACAAACAACCCGACCAGCATCACAGGACCTATTTTACCTTTGGGGTTAAGTCCCTCCCTGATTCTCCTCCCTTACATCGGAAACTCACACGAGAAATTAGCAAGGTGATTGCATCTAGTGGTGCTTCTTTATGTCTGCTCAGGCAAAAAAGCTGAGGGTATTGGAGGACAGCAGCAAATCATCGTGTTTGAACAGGACCTATCCATGCTACCTGCTGAGGCTCAGCCGTGTGTTTGGGATTACCAAGCCGGTATTTACCTCTCTCATATCCTGTAACATCTTTGTTCCTGGAAAACCTTGATCATCTCTCTGCAGGAGATGATCAGGGAGTGGCCAGGAACTGCAGCTGTGAGTGCCCCAGGCTGAGTTCCCCGGTGAGATTTCGTGACAGAGCTCTGCATTCCTCCAGCTGCTTTGCTCTGCTCTTACAATTCACAGTTGTTCCACGGAGGACGCAGCAAGGAAATGCAGTGTTGTTCCCTGGTAGAATCTGCAGAAGCTTTCCAATGGAACTGGAAGTGCACAGAGACCTTTCCACGGTTACTTTTAATATGGACGTTAAATGCCTTGTCTTACATACCTTGGTTCTAGGAGATGCATGTGGCCAATGGGGCTGTGGGACACACGCACTGTTCTCTTGGAGCCTCTGTCTTGGGACAGGTATCTGGTTAGAGAGATACCTCCAAGATCTCACGTCTCCACTGTAGCCCTGGGCTAAGGGCTTGCCCTCACATGCTATGTATGCAATGAGGATATTGCTGCATTGGCACAAAGGGTTCACAGAACCACAGAATCACACAGAATGGCCAGGGTTGGAAGGGACCTCAAGGATCACGAAGCTCCAACCCCCTGCTACATGCAGGGCCACCAACCTCCACATTTCACACCAGCCCAGGCTGCCCAGGGCCCCATCCAACCTGGCCTT